TGTCGTGTTCCACGCACGGTGTGGTGAGGGTGCTCCGTCGTGGGTGGGTCCGGAATCTTCTATGCGCGTGAACTTTGTGGGCCGCCTGTTTTTTTTTGTTCGTTATTTCTGCTTGCACTTTTTTTCCTGCACTTGTTGCTACCTCTACTTATTTTTCTTGCCTTCTTGTTCCTTTTTTCCTCTTCCCCACTGCCTCGCAGCTCACTGATCCCAGCGTCTCTACTACTTCCACCATCACTAATACCGCGACGGATGGCAATGACGACGGTGCGGTGCCGTGCAGTGTGCGCTTTTGCGGTTCTTGCGCTGCTGTGCGGCTGCTTCTCGTCTGTGTGCGCAACGGCGGCAGCAGATGCGGATGTGGTGGTGCAAGTATCTTGTAACCGGACTGATGGTAATTTTCTTTGGCGTTTTGCTGGCGAGGGTAATTGGACGCCGTGTAAGAACTTCCACAGTGGGCGCGTCATGTATCTTCCGGATTGTCCTGTGTGCTGGGATGCCAAAGAAGAATATGAAGATCGGAAGTGTAATGCAGTGTGTAACACCAACCAGAGTGCTGTTGCGTTCACGCTGAAATATTCGCTTTTGAGTGAAAACCAAATTTGCACGAGGCTGTTGCCAACAACCAGGGTGGACGCTTCCATTGCCGAGAAACAAGATGTTTGCCCTCGAAGATACGGTGAAGAGGGAACGCCTCAAATTCTCCCCACTGTACCTGTTCGTGATGACACACCGCCAACGCCACCTGCTGTGGGCACTTCAGCAGGGGAGGCGGCAAAAGATGTGATGGAGACTGAAAAGCACGAAAACACAGATAACAAAGCCCAGGGCTCTGACGTCTCTCGCACTCAGCCGACGGATCATGCGCCAAAAGAAGAGAGTGAGGAGGATGCCGGCGCACAGGATTCCGAGCCGAAGGAGAACGCCCCCAAAGCGGGCCGCGTTGCCTCTCGGGACTGGACGACGCTGATTACTGACAGCGGCATAATGTCGAGGCTGAAGGCAGATGGTGGCGTCATTGTGCGTGGGAATACGGCTCCCTTGCTGCTGCTGGTGCTGCTGGGTGTGTGGGGCGTTGGGGCACTTGCCTAAGCAGTAGAAGACATCAGGGGGTTGCGGCGCCGAAGTGGATTACGCGTGCAACTCAAATTTTTTTTTGATGTCTGTGAGAAATCTTTTTTTGTTTTTTGTTTTTGTTTTTCATTTTATTATTATTTACACAATTAATATCTTTTTTTTCTTTTGTTTTTGCTCTGTCCTCCTTCTGCACGGAGGCGCGGGTTTCTCTCGTGACGGCTTGCGCCCTTCGCGTCCACACACGAGCGACAGCACTCTGCCGCTGTGATGCACTGATGAAAGGGGCCGCGGAGAGCAGCAGCAACACGCCGAAGACCTCCAGTGAAATATAAATGATGGGCGTGGACACGAGGAGGACCCCTTTGAAATGAAACAAACAATTTTTTTTCCTTTTTTTTTTGGGTGGGGGAGGACATCATGAAGGACGGAATTCTTTTTTTCAGCATATTTTCAGTGGCACGCTGCTGCGTGGGTTGCGGCGCTGCATTAGGTATTGCCGGTCGTCTTTTTGTTTGTTTTTTATGTCCTGTCATTTTGTTCTGTGTGCTTGTCCGCCCTCATGTGTTTTATTCTTCTCTCTCTTTGCGGTTTGAGGATAGGCAGACAAGACCACAGCGACTCGATATGTTGCAGTGCCG